TTGCTGTCTGGTGAAGGCCCACCTTTCTAGTTCTTAGAAGGTGGCATCTTGCTGTGTCCTCATATGGCAGACGGGACAAGAAAGCTGACTAGAGCTTCTTTTCAAGGGTACCAATCCCATTCACAGGGGTTCCGCCGTCATTCACTAGTCCCCTCCCAACGTCCCACTTTCTAACACTGTCACAGCAGTAATTAGGTTTCAACTTGTGAATCTGGGGGGCAGGGGCACAAACATTCAGACCTTAGCACCTACCATAAAATGCAGCTGTTTAAGGCATACAATGCAGTGGTTTTAAGTATATTCTCAGATATGACCACTCATCACTACAGCTATTTTTAAAAATATTTCTATCATCCCCAAGAGAAGTACTGTACCCATAAGCAGTCACTCCTTATTTTCTCCCTGGTCTACAAGATTCTGGTAACTACTTCTCTACTTTCTGGCCTTGTACATTTGCCTAGTTTGAACACTTCACATAAATGGGTGTGTGTGTGTGTGTGTGTGTGTGTGTGTGTGTGTGTGTGTGTGTAGGCATATACATACATACATGTGTTTATACACACATGGTCTCTTCTGACTGGCTTCTTTCACTTAACATAATGTTATCAAAGATCATCCCTACTGTAGTATCTATCATTACTGCCTATCTCTTTAATGCTGAATAATATTCTGATGTATGGGCTTACCACATTCTGTTCATCCATTCATTAGGATGATAGACATTTGGATTGTTTTCATTTTGTGGCTCTTTAAATACACTGCTTTGAACATTCCTAAACTAATTTTTAGGTTGACCTATATTTTCTTCTCTCTTGGGAATACACCTGGGAGTGAAATTGCTGGGTTAAATTTTAACTTTCCATTTAACCTTTTGAGGAAATACCAGACTAATCTTCCAAAGTGGTGCACCATTTCACGTTCCCACCATTCGAGTACAAAGTTTTCAATCCATATATCCTCATCCACATTTATTCTTTGTTTGATTGCTTTATTGTATCTGTCCCCGTGGGTGTGAAGCACTATCTCATTGTAGTTTTGATTTGCATTTCCCTGATGGCTACAGAGAAGTGTTGGTGTCACTTCTGTGGCACAGATGAGGAAACTGTGGCACAGAGAGGATCTTAATTTACACATCATGACTTGGTAAGTGTACAGACTTGTGGGTACAACAGTGTAGGCAGAAGGAAGTTGCTACAGCACTGTTGGTGAAAATAAATATTAGAACTGGATATTTCCCAGCAGGAGATTATCCTATAGAGGACTACCATCAAAGTCCGGGGAAGGTCTATGCATGCTGACATGAAATGAACTCCAAAACATTGTTGGTGAAAAAGACACAGAATCACACGTGCAGCATGGATCTGTTTGTGCTTACAGATGATAGATAGATAGATAGATAGATAGATAGATAGATAGATAGATAGATAGATAGGAAGGTTACATACCAAATTGCTCCCACAGTATGCTCTAGAATGTAAGCTTCAGGAGAGCAACAGCTTTTGTTATTGTGAGTATGGCTTTATCACCAACCCCTCACAAAGGATGTAGCTCATAATAGTAGCTGAGTAAATAGCTGTTGTTCAATGAAAAATTCCTTTTGAGAGAGGAATGGAAGGCAGAAGAATACGCCAAAGAACCCATGTTTCCCTCTGAAGACCCGTGTCTTCTAACCATGAAATCATGCAGTCATTCTATCATTTCTGACACTGAAAAAAAAAATATTCGGGAATTCTGGGGTCTTCAGCAAGAAAAAGTGAGACCCCCCTGGGGAGTCCGTATGAAGCTGAAAAGTGGCCTCCATGGCTTCCACGGATGCCGTGAGGACCCTCTGGGGCTCTAGGGTTCCTCATTTCAAGTGGATGCCTGGCTCCCAGCCCAGCTCAGTCTCCGGGGCTTGGTTATCCAGAGGGGAAGGCAGGACCCCTCCTGCTGCTGGGCACGCCCACCTGATCAATAAAGCATGTCCCAGCAAGCAGGAATCCAATGTCAAGATGCCAGCCATGAATCATGTTTTCACGCCTGAGAAGATCTTAAAAAATCAATGAGTACTAGAAGGACACAGCCATGCACTTTTGTTTCTATCATTTTTCAATATTTGTTTAATTTTTCATCCTGGATGAGTCCTCGGAGAAGTCCCAAGGATCAAGGGCTTGTGGTGGAACAGACAGGTGTACAGTCATCACACTCTGGGCTCCAGGGGACTAGCTGTTCCCAGATCCCCAAAGGTGAGGAAGGAAGGCTTCTCTCTCGGAAGGCTCCGTGGGTTGGGGCAGGAGCCAGGTTCTACTGTGTTCGACTGTGTTTTCCACGTCAACTGAGGGTACAGCCGTGACCTACATATTACAGCAGTTTCAGATGACAAGATTCAAACAGTGAGAACAACATGTCTTTTTTTCTGCTGAAAGAAGCGGACAATTCAGCCTAGTATGGGTTCAGTTTTACATGTTGAAGTCTTTTCCCCAGCACCTCTGAACATGACTACATTTGGCAGGGGGAAGGGTTTTAAAGATGATAAGGTTAGAATGAGGCCTTTAGGGTGGACCCTGATCTAATATGACTAGAAATTTTAACAGAGAGAGAGAGAGAGAGACCCAAGGGATGAGCACACCCAGAGGAAAGACCATGTGAGGCCACAGTAAGAAGGCAGCCACCTGCAAGCCAAGGAGTCAGGCCACTGTCAGCTGCTGTCCTCTTGATCTTGGACTTCTAGTCTCCAGAACTGTAAGAAAGTCAATTTTTGTAATTGAAGCCACCGAGTCTGTGGTATTTTGTTATAGCATCCCTGGCAAACTAATACTGCACCTCTCTGAAGCCTGGGAACCAAAAAAGGTCTTAGGCATTCAGTTTCAAGGGACAAGCTGTTCAGAGATCCCCAAAGGTGAGGAGGAAGGCTGTCTCTGAAGTATCCACAAATTTGTAACAAGAGTTAAAGCACTGAGTTTAAACATCCACCAGGTCCAGGCAGCAGATGCCAACCTACCACAGTGTGGTTTAGATCTTTAACGTCCCCCCAAAACCCAGACACTAAAGGCTTGGTGGCAGCAGAACCATTAGGAGGTGGGGGTCTAATGGAAGAAATTATGTCACTAGGCTGTGCCCATGAAGGGAACATTGGGATTCTGGCCCCTCCCTCTCTCTCTCTTTTTGCTTCCCAAGATGCTATGGGGTTTCTTCCACCATGTGATTCCACTACGGCACATTACTGCCTCACCACAGGCTCACAAGTGACAGGACCAAGTGACCATGGTAATAAAACAAAACAACCACCTTGAAACCATGAACCAAAATATGTCTTTCCTCCATGAAAGATGATTTTCTCATGCATTTTGTCATAGTGGCAGAAAGCTGACTATCACACCAAAGTATTAATGAGAAGGGAATCCCAGGCCTCTTCCCAGCTTGAGGCTCCATTGGAAGACAGTTGGAGTCTGCACTGGAATGAAGTGTGAAATCTGACTTTGACCTTAAGTCCGGGTATAGCAATTGCTGAACTGAGGCAGTGTTGGAACTAGAAGTAACTGGTAAATTTTGATTCCTGGAGGCCAGCCAGAAGGGTCACAGGCCTGCCTTAATTTTCATCGTAGAGCATGAGAAGAGTGAAGAAGTGTCCCCCAAAAAAGTTAAGGACAGTGAAAGACAAAAAGAATTTGCTGAATCCCAGAACACACTCCAGGAGTCCTAATTATTTAACATAAGTTCTGTTTCATGTGTAGCAGTTTGGCCCAGTCTCTGGAAAAGTAACAGACCCCATTTAATGAGCGATCATTACCATTTAAAAATTCCCCCACTGTCACCAGTAAGCAATCCCATCCTCTTTGAGCAGGACAAAACCTGATGACAGCAGACAAGTCCTTTAACAGCTTCTGCATTCTTTGAGCCAACAACTCCAGCACAGATGTTCCACAAATCCAGGGACTAAACACCACCCTCTCTACCCCATGACTCCGAGAAAACCACAACAAACTCCGGGTCAGCAGTGCTGGGCAGGCCTCGGGTCACATAGTACGCCAAAGAAAACCGAGTTCAAATCTGGCTGTGTCACTTCACATCCGTGCAATCTTGGGTACATGACTTAAGTTCCTTGTACTTGCATTTCCTCATCTATAAAATAGGGGTAATAAAGAACTCATCTTATAGGGTTATTGTGGAGAGCAGATGAGGAAATAGATGCAAAAGCATTTAGAACCTTGGCACAGGACAAGGGGCTCCATACACGCAGTGTCATTATACTTCACCACCTCTCCAAGTGAAACCTCGCGATGATGTTGGCTTCTCGGCTCGAGGTTGTAAAGAACATTTTACGAGGTGCCTGGTGATGGAAAGCATGGATTCTAGAACCAGACTGCCCAGACTTGGATCCAGCAAAAATGTGAGGCACATGGTCAAAGTGTTTGCAGTTACTGCTATTAATGCACTGAGATAATGCGGTAGTATTTACACAGATGCAATACTCACTCAGATATATCACAGGCATTGGAGGGTGGTCAAAGAAGCAGAAGAAAGTCATCCCTTGTTAGCCACTGGGGACTGGTTCCAGGACCCCTACTGACACCAGGCTCTGAAGATGCTCAGGTGCCTTATTTTTAAAATGGCTTAGTATTTGCATATCACCTACCCACACCCTTTCCTTTGCTTTAAATATTACTTCTGATAATGAATACAATACAAATGCCATGTAAATAGTTGCTATACTGTGTTGTTTAGTCCATATATGTTCAGTACAGAGGCAACTTATTTTTCAAAGACTTTCTACCCAAGGTTGGTGGAATTCTCAGATGTGGAGCCCGTGGATACGGCGGGCTGGCTCTATGTCCCTAATCTGGAGGCTGCAAAACTGGACCTCAGTTGCTTTTGCTTGTTTGTTTGTTTACCAGCAGACAGTGGCTCTCAAGCAAATAAGAGTCTTGGACCCAGAAACCCATCCTCTTTGGGCCAGACCCTCTGCCATTACCTGCAGTGCCCTCTGAGGCCACCCCCAACCCCCAGCTCTCTTGTGTTACCTGGTCTGGTTCCTTCCTCCAGGGCGGATCCTAGCCTGCCAGGCAGAGCACATAGCATAGCTTTCCAGCCTCCTGAGACGGTGACATTTCCAGGGGCCCAGCTCTCTCTGGGCCTGGTTCACCCCTCACCGACCGAGGGCCTCCGAAAGACTGATGGAGAAGCAAATGGAAAATTTAAAAAGCTGATACCCCTGCAGGAAGTCATTGTTTGGCCAATTCCAGGACTGAAAAACAGTGTAACATTGGAGAAAGGAGGGTAAAGTGCCATTCAAGGCCATTGTTAAAGCCACTGCTCTGTGTACTGGGGAAACAAAGGGGACCTCTGTGTGCGAGGACAATGCTGTTGTGTCACCAGCTGCTTCTGTGTTGCTCCTGGGGACCTGGAACAAGAAACAAGGCCACAGCGCCTTCCTCCATGAGATGCGCCCCAGACTTCACTGATCACAGCCACCAGGCCAACCAGAGCTGGGAGCGGAGACTGGGACATTCAGCCCATGGTGCTCTGTACTGGGGAGCAGAGACAGTCCCTTAGTAGCCACCAACTGCCTAGGTGCCATTTTTCCATACAGGATAAAGCCCAAATTGTCACTCTCCTCTCCAGCCTCAGAGATTTAACACAAGTTAGAGCTGAAAAGAATCATAAGGCATCATCTCCCCAAAAACACATGTCATTGTGTTTGTCAGCTATTCATCCCTGTAACAAAACACCTGAGAAAATCAATTTAAAGAATTATTTTTCACTATTTCAGTCCGTGGTCACGGGGCTTCATTGTTTGTGGGCCCATGGTGAGGCACAACATCATGGCAGAAGAGAGTGGCTGAGAAAAGTGGTTCACCTGTTGGCAAATAGGAGAGAGAGACAGAGCAAGCCCAGGGACAATACGTACCTTTCAAGGACAGGTCGCCCTGTGCCCTCCTTCCTCCACCCACGCCCTACCTCCTACAGTTTCTACCACTTCCCAACAGTGCCACCACCTGGAAACAGGCCTTCAACAGGTGAGCCTTTGGCATTTAGTAGCAGCTGATAAGGCCAGATCAGTCATCACGTGGTTCCACCCATTGAGCCCCCATAAGGGACCGGGCACAGATAAGATAATGAATCTAGTTACTCCTGTCTTCCAAACCTTGCTCTGGCACTATTTCCCATGGATTATAAATGAGTTTGTTCTCTGAGTCTTGGTTTCCTATTTGTAAACTGGGATTATTTCCTGTCTGTAAATTGGTACTGTGTGGATTAAATGAGGTAATGAATGCATGCATCACTCTTAGAACAGTGCTTGGTTTATAAACAGTGAACAAACACTGTGGATAAAAAATCAGAGACCCACTTACACCAGCAACTTGCACAGACTCATGAGGAGGTGATACGGAGATGGCAGGAAGCCCAGGACCCACATCCGGCCCCGTGGTGCCTATCGCCGTCTTATTCTCTTCCCTGGAGTCTTCAAGGAAAGCTGGGCATCAACAGATACTCTTGAGGAACAGGCGGGGACAAATGTGTGAAGACGGTTTATTGGAGCACAACATTTATCCGTGGGGACTGGGGCGATTCGGTGTCCACATCCGTCTTCTGGGGACAATGAGGACTCTGTTCTGGAAAATGGCTGCAACATGAAGAGATGAGAACAGAATGGAACAGGTGGAGGAAGGAGCTGGCCAATTTTGAAAGAAAAAAAAAATGGAAGAAAAAATGGGTTTTTATTTCAAATTTGCCAATTTTGCAATGCCATACTCCAAATGTGACATTGTTGATGCAGGCTGAGCCCCAGATCTGGCAAGTTGTGATGCCTGGTGTGGACACAAGTGGCATCTCTGAACCAGGACCTCCCTGTTGATATTCCCAGCTTTGGTCCCACACATGCCTGGGGTCTCCTGGTATATGGTCTGAATGTCGGTGTCTACCCCCTCCCAAATTCATACGCTGAAATCCTAATCCCCAAAGTGATGGTATTAGGAGGTGAGGCCCTTGGGAGTGAAAGGTCATGAGGGCAGAGCCCCCATGAATGGGATTAGCCCCTATAAAAGAGACCCAAGAGAGCTCCCTGAGCTCTTTGATCATGTTAGGACACAGCCAGAAAGTGCCATCTCTCAGCCAAGAATTGGTCCTCCTCATCACACCAAATCTGCTAATCCCTGATCTTGCACATCTTAGCCTCCATACCGTGAACAATAAATTTCTGTTGGATAAGCCACGCTGTCTATAGAATTGGATCATAGCAGCCCAAATGGACTAAGATATCTGGTTAGCTCATTAGGCCAATTCAAACCTGCTTCTCGAGCTGAACAGGGGACCTAAGACCAAAAACACAGTCCACCTTCGTCTTCGTCTATGAGATGGGGGTAAGGAAAAGAGAAATGCAGTGGGAGAGGCTCTCCCTAAGAGGGAGGCGTTTGGCCTAATCCACCTCCTGCAGTCATTCCTCTGATAATGAAGGCAGCTGGGATTTAGCAATGGGACCAAAGGGAGAATGGAAAATGGGGGATTAGGTTCCCTTAACCACTGTCAATTCAAGTTAACAGAGGGACAGAGTATACTTGCTTTGCAAATGCCAATTCAAGACAAGATTGCTCACAATGAGCCACCCACTAGAATGGCCAACTTCAAGAAGACTGATAATAATAAGCATTACTAATGATATGGAGAAACTGAAACCCTTCTACACTGCTGGTGCCGATGCAGAATGGTGCAGTCACTTTGAAAACCAATCTGAGAATTCCTCACTAGGTTCAACACAGAGTTACCCTATGACCCAGAATTTCCATTCCAGATACCCCAAGTGAAATGAAGTATATGCCCACATGAAAACTTGTACATGATTGTTCATAACAGCAGTATTCATAATAACAACTCAAAAGTCTGTCCACTGATAGATAAGCAAAAACGTGGTAGGTCCGTGCAATGAAATGTCATGTAGCACAAATAGCAATGAAATACAGACTCGTGCTATATAACACAGATGGACTTTGAAAACGTGCTAAGTGGAAGAAACAATGCAATGTCCAGAATAGAGACAGAAAGTAGATTAGTGGTTCTCGAGGGCTGCGTGATGGAGAACCTTGTGGAGGAGGAGGTGGAGTGACGTCTAAGGGGAGTGGTGTTTCTTTTATGAGTGATGAACATGTTCTAAATGCCCACGTTGGTAGTTAGAAAACTCTGTGAATGTACTTAAACCCATTGAATTGTCCATTTAAGACAGGTACATTGTATATTATGTGAATCAGTTCTCAATAAAGCTATTTTAAAAAAAAATAAAAATAAAGTGGTGAACCTAAAACAATTTCCAAGAAAAAAAATCTTATGGCCATATCCCTCTCTTCATATGAGAAAACTGAACAACCTTTCCCAAAGGATGGTTTCCCTTAAAGTTTCCAGGATCACGTTAGGGTAACCAACTGGCCTGCTTTCCCCAGCACTGTCTCAATGTTAGAACTCAAAGTTCTGCATCCCAGAAAATCGCTAATTCCTGGGCAAACTGAGATGGTTGGTCACCTTAGTTCCTCCCTTTCCCACACAGGAAAACTCTGCCCTTCATCACTACTAATGGCTAGAACTGAGTGTCCAAAGAGACAGTTCTGCCAGGCACAGTGGCACAGGCCTATAATCCCAGTGGCTTGGGAGGCTGAGGCAGCTGGATCACAAGTTCAAAGCTACCTTCATCAACTTAGCAAGGCCCTAAGCAACTCAGCAAGAACCTGTAGCTAAATAAATATTTTTAAAATGGGCTGGGATGTGTCTCCTTGATAAAGCGCCCCTGGGTTCAATCCCTGGTACAAAAAAAAAAAAAAACAGTTCTTCCGGTATAAATCATCCTTGAGCCCCCTCTAATGGCCAAAAGGTATTTTATTGTAGCTTCCATTTTACAGATGAGGAAACTCAGGTTCAGAGAGGTGAAGAAACTTGCCAGGAGCACAAGAAAACCAGGAACCCAGCCTGAGTATCTTCCAAATCCCATAGTCCTCCTTCCACTTGTAATATTTTCCCTTGCTACATCACTGGTTTAACATACCGTTAAACACAGAGTTACCATATTACCCAGAAATTCCATTCCATATACCCAAAGTGAAATGAAGTTTTCACATACATGAAAACTTGTACATGATTATACAAGCTTATTCTTGCCCACTGAGGAAGATACTGGCATCCAAACAGAAGAAACCTGCATTTTCATCTATGGGAAGACATCTATGTACAACTTGGTGGTTAACAATACAGCCTCTGGAGCCAAACTGCCCAAGTTTAAATCTGAGCTCTCCTACCGCTAATCTGTGAGACATTGGGCAAATTACTTAAACTTTCTATGTCTCAATTTTCCTTTATTTGAAAGTGGGGGAAATAATAATATGGTGTATATGTCAGTGTGCATAGGTGTGTGTGTATATATATATATATATATATACACACACACATACATATATATATATACACATACATATATATACATTTAATATAATATACAAATACAACATAAGCTAGAATGAAGCGTGGCACATAGCAAGTTTACTAAATGAGTGAAAGTAAGCACTGCTTTCTATACTCAAAATTGAAAAAAAAAATGAATTGGTCTAGCTAAATCCAGAGAGTGGGACAAAAATCATGGACATAAACTCTGATATTCTGTTGTTTCTTCTTGAGATAATGCTTATGGTCTAGCAACTGAGGACAAAATTTTAAATGCAATATGGCACTGGCAATCTGAGCTGCCCTACCAACCAGGCATGAATAGTATAAGGTTTCAGACTCTGCCAGCCACTGACTATAGCCCAGGGAAAACTCCCCCTGTCATACCTGATCAGGAGAGCAAGAAGAGCTGGGGCTGCACTTGTCACTCAGCTGTGCTCTCTGAAACAGGTTTGTTCAACACTGTTGTATAGATATGAAAACTGAGGCTCATAGAAATTCAACAATTTGTTTTTGATGATATAGTCAATAACACGTAGAACTGAGATTGAAATTAGGTTGCATTATAAAGCTCCTGTTTCATTGTCTCCATGCATTAGTTACTATTGTTGTGTAATAAAATTTTCTAAAATCTAGTAGATAAAAAACAAGTGTTTAAAATCTTATATAGTATTCAAAGGCCAGAAATCCTGATGTGGTTTAGCTGAGTAGTCTTGGCTCAGAATCTCTCTCATGAGGTTGCAACCAAAGTTGTTGGTCAACACTATCTGAATAAAGATCTACTAGGGGTGAAGAATCTACTTTTACGGAGGCTGTTAGCAGTCATAAGTTTTTTGCTGGCTGTTGGCTGAAGGCTTCAGTTCCTTGCCACATGAGTCTCTCCATAGGACTCCACACACAACACGGCAGCTTGCTTTCCCCAGAACAAGACAGTCAAGAGAGAGGGAAGATGAGAGAGTGCCCAAGACAGGAAACAGGAGTTTGTGTCTTTCTTGTTTGTTTGTTTGTTTGTTTGTTTCTGGAATCTTAGAAATAATGTACCATCATCCCCAGCCACATACCAATCCTGGGACAAATGAAAAGGGTGTTTACTAGGTTTGAATACAAGGGATTATTGAGGGCCATCTTGGAGCCTGGCCACCATGCTCACCTTTCTACAGTAAGATGAGAAGACAAAGTCTTGCAAATAACAAGCCAATATCCCCACAGAAATTAATCTTAAGTCTAATCACACTTTTTGTTTATTTAACGAACACACCATTCACCTAAGTTACTGTACCTGCCCTATGGTTAAAATTTCAGTCTGCTTTGAGCTAGGACCTTTCATCATTGCCAAATCAGAGTCCAGTACTGCCAACTCAAAATTACTCACTACATTCATAATTACCTGTTGAATCCACAGATTAAATAATTTTTATGAACCACTCCCATCCCACTCTTGCCATAGATGTATCAAGACTCTGGATAAGTAATAGTGGCTCCCTTCCTATCCCCTTTCCTAAACACTTTCTCACCTGCTCTTCAAACCAGATCTCAAAAATGATCCGGTTTTCCCATTTGGATAAACCTAATAAAAACACCAGCTCCTACCTGAGACAGAAACTATACATGCAAAAGCAAGTTTTATGTTCTTCGAGATGACGTTTGTGTGTGTGTGTGTGTGTGTGTGTGTGTGTGTGTGTGTGTAAATTACATGAATTACAATGAGCACAGTTTCGTTGTAATTCCAAGTGGCCAACAGACTGATCACTTCTGAACAACTATGCCTCCAAGGTGCCCGCCAAGCCTGCATTACCCAAATCAGCCAGTCCTCCTGCATGGGTCCCGGGAACACTAGTTTCCCCTCTGGTAAATGGAAAAGCCAGGTCAACCCTTGAAAACCCATGCTCCCTCCACTTCCTCCCAGGTCCTGGGTCCTCGAGATGGCCATTCTGCCGCAGAACCCTTCTAAGTTCCTCCCAGCCCTGGTGCCACTAGCGAACCCGCTCCCGCCACTTTGAAAGACTACAGCCCCCGGCATGCCCTGCGCAGGCGGCGGAGTCATGTGATCACGCTCCTCCCCCGACTGCAGTCACATGATTTCGGAAAAATGGCCGCCGTCACCGCGGAGCACTTCGCGGCTCTCCAGAGCTTGCTGAAGGTAAAGGGCGGGGTGGGGACGCGTGCAGTCTCCTTTGTCTTCGGAACTGAGTATACGGAGCGAACGGGGCGGGCACGGGGAATAAGTTGGCCCTGATTTGGAGCCACAACTCTGCCACTGCTTCTTTGTGTGACCCCGGGCAAACCGTCGCTCCTTTTTGAGCTTTTAAAGAGAAAATCAACAACTCCCTGACTAGAAGGTGAAAAAGAAAAAAAATGAGATAACGGACTTGAAGGGGCTGTACAATTGCCCCCCCCCCCCGTTAGTCTCTGGGGCTGGTTTTCGGGATGGGTGCGTTGGGAGTGGTAATTGCTGGATCCGTTTTACTGGTTCCCCATTTCATCCCACAGCCCTTCTGCACTCCGTGCTTAGGAAATTCTCTCCCTGTGCATCTGCCGGCGCCAGCGACTGAGGTGTGCGTTCTGTGTTCCCGAGGCCCGGGTTTTCTGTTCTCGCCTCTGACTGAGAAAGGGCCGGAACACCCTCCTGATAATCATTTGTTTGAAAGATTGAGTGGTTGAAGGGGACATACTTCCCCGGGCTTGTAAAGTTCAAATAAAATAAAGGGTTGGAATTAACTTTTGATTTCCTCTCTACAAGGGCGGCTTTATTTTCCTTTGTAACACTTGTCATTAGATGACATTATGAATCTATTTGCCTATTGTCCGCCTTCTCTTAAGAATGTAAGATCCATGAAGGACAGTTTCTTTAACTTTCCTTTTCCCTTTAGTAGGTGAAGAGGATTGAGTTAATTATACTCAACAGTTTATGACACAGCATCGTCATTATGGTCTCCGTTTTGTTTAACTTAATTTTGAATGGCCTCCCCAGTATTCATTTGCACTCTACGCTCCTAAAATCACTACTTTATTGTTCATCGGTGTATATCAACAATTCTGTAGCAATATGCATTCATTTTCATTGCTCTTATCCTATGTACTCTTTTATTTTTTTAAATATAAACTTTCTTATTTTGAGATAATTGTAGGTTGACATGCAGTTGTAATAAATAATGCAGAAAGATCCCATTTACCCTTTACCCAGTTTCCCCCAATGTTGACATTCTGCAAAACTATAGGAAACTCACAGCCAGGGTGTTAACATTGATAGTCAAAATACAAAATGTTTCCATCACCACAAGACCCCTCTTGCTGCTCTTTTATAGTCACGCTTCCATTCATCCTCCACCTCTTCTTTAACACCTGACATTCTTTTTAAGAATTTTATATAGACTAGGTGTGGTGGCCCTCCCCTTTGTTCCCAGCAACTTGGGAGGCTGAGGCAGGAGGGTCAGAAGTTTCAGGTCAACCTAGGCTACTTAGTGAGACCCTGTGTCAGAATTTTTAAAAGGGTTGGGGATGTAGCTGAGTGGCAGAGCACTTGCCTAATATGCACAAGACCCTGGGTTTGATCCCCAGTACTGCGTGCGCACGTGCGCGCATGGGCACACACACACACACACACAAAAGAACTTTATATAAATCATATAGTATATATGGATTGACTTTTTTTTCACTCAGCTTAATCCCCTGGAGATTCGTCCATGTTGTCTGTAACAATAGTTCTTTCCTTTTTATTGCTGAGGAGTATTCCATGGTGTGGATATACAAAAATTTGCTTGACCTGTTGAAAGACATCAAAATCGTTTCCAGTTTTTGCTATTACAAATAAAGCTGCTATAAATGTTTGTGTACAGGCTTGGAATACAATTACTGGGTCATTTGGATGTCTGTATGTTTCATTTTTCAAGAAATCTCCAAACTCTTTCCAGAGGCTGTACCACCTTACATTTCTATCAGTAGTGTCCAGGTATTCCAGGATGTCCACTGCCGCAGTCTGGCTGGACACAAAATCACGAGCCACTCACAGCCTTGTAGATTCAAACAGCAATTCTTTATTCCCGAACTGTCACGGGCACTCTACACGCATGTTCTGGGGAAAATCCACACTTCCACTGGGCTCTGCATCCCCAAATACTCTCTGAATCCCCAGAACTCAATGGGAACTCAAGGAGCGGGAGGGGGCCTGAGGCAGCAGGATACACCCTATTCCCAGCGGGGTCCACCTTAAACCTGGAACTGCCCTAAACCCAAGGAGCGGGATACTCCCTATTCCCAGCAGGATACACCCTAAACCTGGACCCATCCTAATCCAGCAGGATCCTCCCTAAACCGGGATCCACCCTGGTCCTTGAGCAGGATCACCTTACTCAAACAAGCCCATTTCCACAATGGAGAGTCCTCCTCTAAGCAACATGGGGTAGGCTGACAAGGAAATTGCCATGCGTCATTCTTACTTAGCTATGGCTCTCAGCAGTCCACATCCCCACCAGCGTTTGATGTTATCACTATATTTTATTCAAGCCATTCTGAAAGATGTGTTTTGGTATCTCAGTGTGGTTTTAATTTGTGTTTCTCTAATGACTAAATGATGTTGAGTCTGTTCATGTGATCATTTACCCTCTGTGTATCTTCAGTGGAATATCTTTTGTCCCTATTCTAATTGGAGTATTTGCCTCTGTAATCTTGAGCTTTGGATTTTTAAAAATATGCTTTAGGCTCCAGATTACTAATTTTGACATTTGTATCAATTTCTAACATGCACATTGAATATTATAAATTTCCTTTTCAACTTCATTGACTGTGTCCTACAAATGTTGATACGTTGTTTTCTCATTTTCACTCTCTTAGTGTAATTTATTTTAAGTTCCCTTGAGATTTGGTCTTTGACCTGTGGAATTATTTAGTAATGTATTGTTTAAATTTCCATATGTTTAACATTTTCCTGTTATCTTTCTGTTTCTGGGTCATAATACAAACTTCAACAAAATTTTAAAACTAAAATGAATAGTGTGCTGTTTTGTGGACCAGAATATGATCTATCTTGATATATGTCCAGGTGTTTGAGATGTGAGTATATTCTGCATTTTCTGAGTATGAAGTGTTCTGTAAATGTCAATTAGAGTGATTTATTATGTTGTTGAGTTCTTCCATCTTTGTTGAATATTTGTGTAATTGTTTTATTAATTATTGAAAGAGGGGTTTTGATGTCTCAACTATATTTGTGAATTTGTTTTTCATTAATAGTGCTGTCAGCTTTTGTTTCACATATTTTGAAGTTCTTTTTTAAAATTTTTTTTGTAGTTGTAGATGGACAGCATGCCTTTATTTTGTTTGTTTCATTTTTATGTGGTACTAAGGATCGAACCCAGTGCCTCACAAGTGCTAGGGAAGTGCTCTGCCACTGAGCTACAGCCCCAGCCCCATGTTTTGCAGTTCTTTTATTGGGTACAGATACATTTAGGATTTCGTTGTCTTGGTGGATAGAATCTTCTATCATTGTTTAATGTCCTTCTCTTTCTCTGGTAATTTTCTTTTTGTGACTCATGCTTTATCTGATATTAACGTAACCACTCTTGCTTTCCTTTGGTTAATGTTTGTATGGCACCTCTTCTTTCATCCTTTTACTTTCCAGCCAGCTCCTATCATATATTTGAAGGGAGTTTTGTGTATAAAATATTTAATTGAGTCATATTTTTAATCCACTCTGCCAATTTCTGTATTTTAATTGGAATGTTTATGCCAATTAAATGTTTGAGTTAGTATAATTACTGATATGTTAGAACATAAGTCTGCCATTTTATTTTTGTTTTCTGCTGTTCTTTCTTGTTTTTTGTTTCTATTTACATTTTTCTGCTTTCCCCTGGGTTATTTTTTAGAGTTGTTTTGATTTGTCAGTAGTTCTAAAAATGTATTTATTTTTATAGCCCCTTTAGTAGTTGCTATAGTTACTATATTGTGCATGTACAGCTTATCTCAGCCTATTGGTGTCATCATGGTGTTAGGGTGAAGTATAGACACCTGCCTCTCTGTCTGTCCTTTAACCCTTCTTTACTTGTAGCATAATTGTCATGGGTATGTCCTCTGGGTACATTTAGAGGTACATCAGACAGTGTTCTAATTTTTCTTTCAACTTTTAAACATATTTAGAAAATTCAAGAAAATAAAGGAATTTTTTTTTTTTTTTTGCTTATCCTTTTCTTTCTTCCTGACATTCCAAGGATTCTTCTTGTTCCAAGAAAATCTGGTGTGAAAGAACCAACTTCTGTAGGCCACTTGTGGAAAGAGACTGCAGAAAGATGTCAGGCATATTCTTGGCATTGCTAGCACCAGCATTCGGCACCTGGTGTTCCCCATACCTCCTGACAGCTTGGCATTTCTCTAGTCTGCTGGGAGGCTCGTGGGGAAAGAGGCCAGGGTTCCCCAAGGGCAGTCACGGTGACCCGGCTCAACATGGCTGCAGTCAGGTCAAGCTGGATCCTCGTACTCCTTTCATTCCTTCTTTTCTCTTTACAGAACTTGTTTTAACCATCCTTTAAGGTAAATATTGTGACAAATTTTCTTAGTGCTCTTTTCTAAGAACGAATATCTTTATTTCCTCTTCATTCCTGAAGGATATTCTTATTGTCTGTAGGAGTCTAGTTTGACAGCTCTCCTTTCACACTGAAAAATACTATGCTTTTTGTGTTTGTGTATTTCTCTGTGGTTTCTGATGTGAAAGCTGCTGTCATTCTGATTGTTTATTATAGCTAAAGTGTTGTTTCTTCCTCACTACTTTCAAGATTGCTTTGTCTTTTGTTTTTATAAGTTCACTTTGGGACCTGGTGTAGGTTTTTTAAAATTATTATTTATCCTACATGGGATTTACTCAGGTTCTTGAAATATGTACTACTGTGTCTCCAGCTATGCTTGGAAAGTTTTCAGCTGTTATTCCTTTGATTACACATTTTTGGTCTTGTTTATCATCCTCCGGCTCCATCCGCTGATTCTTCTCTCTGTCCCTTCCATTTTGGTGTACTGAGCCCATCTATTGAGTTTTTACATTTTGGTTATTGTATTTTTCACTTCTAAAATTTTACATTTTATTCTTCTTAATATCACCTATTTTTGGATGAGACTCTCTCTTTTTTAATTTGTTTAAAGCATGTTCATAGTTACTTATTGAAGCATTGTCATCAAGGCTGCTTTAAAACCTTGGTCAGATAATTTTAATGGCTGTGATCTTGGAGTTGGCATCTGTAGATTATGTTTTTTTCCTCAGCTTGAGATCTTCTGGTTCCCGATTTGATACATGATTTTTTTTTTTTTTTTGAAACCTGGATGTGTTCATATTATGTTCCAAAATTCTGGATCTTATTTAAGTCTTATGTTTTAGCCAGCTTTCTCTGGTACCATTCAGGCAGGGTTAGGGGGCACCTCTCATTACTGCCAGTTGGAGGTAGAAGTTCAGATTCCCCACTTGGCTCCTGTTGATACCTGAAAGCAGGGGCTTCTGTTTCCCCTGGGTACTGGGGAAGCCCTGTCTCCACTCAGACTCTCTCTGTACCACGGGCAGTGTGGCTTGTGACCCACTGGTGCAGATGAAGATCCCAGCTCCCTGCTTGGCTGTCTTGGACACTGACCCAGTGCAAGTGTTGGGGTACCTCTCACAGCCTCACGCAGACTTCATTGACATAAGTCAGGATGGGTTCACAGTTCTTTATGTGATATTTGGCTGGAATAGAAAGCAGTTATTGTCTAAAGCTTGCTCATCTCACTGTGCTGTTCCTTTCCTGGTCCTTTGGCTAGAGAGAACAGGGATTTGTTGTAGCTTTTTTTTTCTTTTCCTTCCTCCTGTACCCATTGACATTTCCACATTGCCCTCTTCTTCAGCTCAGGGTCTAGGATAGATAAAGCAAAAAGAAAACCCAAGGAACTCACCACCACGTCATTCCTTGGGGCTTGAGCTCCTCACAGATGTGCCTTCTCCCCTCTTTCTAGAGACATCTCGGATCTGTTTTCCATGTAGTACCCAGGGGGTTTTAGTTGTACTTAGCAGAAAGAATAGGGAAAAGTACATTTATTCTGTCTTCCCAGACAAATTTAAAGGTGTCCTCTATATCTTTAAATCTGAAGTGTGAAATATGTCACATAATACCTAAGTTATTTGAAAACATGTTGTCAGAGGTTTTTTTTTTCCTCCCCTATCTGTGAATTAATTCATAGGCCTCCTCAAAAGATGTTGTCAGGCAGCTGTGTCAAGAAAGCTTTTCCAGTTCAGCCCTTGGCTCAAAAAAGCTCTTGGATGTTACATGTTCCAGCTTGTCTGTGACCCAGGAGGAGGCAGAGCAAGTAAGTGTGGTCAGAAATGACCTTTGGCCATGGGCCCTCTTCCCTTGCTAATCTCTTTTTTGACTTCCCAGTCATTTCCATGTCCAAAGAAAATTTCTCCCTGAAATTGACATTGTAGCCAACTCTGGATAGATTTTTTTTTTTAGTATTAGTAAATTGAAAGCTTTGTCTTTGAGCCCTCCCTTGTGATAAGTAGGTCACGTGGGAGCTGGGCCCAGAATCAGCTCCTGAACAAGTTCTTTTAGACTTATTGCCTAGACAGTGTAATCAAAAGCCAAACTTGATGTGACTTTCTTTCTCAGCCTGTACACTACTAAGACTGATGAACTGTCAGCTGGAGAGCTTCAGGCAGATTCTTCAGGAATCTTCCACAGAAGATGGAAGTCTGAGTGGTAATTGAGCTGGGCTCAGTGAGGCTCTCTCTGGGTGCCATGTACAGCGCTGCCTTCTCAGCCCTCAGCCCCAGTGGAGTCTGCTCGGCTCCCCTGAGCTCCCCTGATCCTAGATGTCATGTTGCACTAGGTAGCAGGGACTCCCTTATCTTTCCAGAGCAAATGCACTTTTAAAACAGGAGTATCTTCACATGGATTCATGTTATTTTTATTCTTTAAATATGAAGCTTTGCTCATTAAAATCAACTTTAGAAAAGTAAAAAGCAGAGTAAGATTATAGAGGTGAGTGGAGACTTAGTTTGGATTCCCTGAAAAGTAGATACTGAGGCAAAAACTTGAGTGCCAGAAGTTTTTTGGGAGGTGATTCTAGAAAACACAAAGGAGGAAGTAGGGAAGATCAAATAGGCAAAGTAGAAAAGTCTTAAAGTAAAAAAGTATATTAATGAGTGGTTACTGCCATGGTTACGAGCATGTCTCGTAATTTTCCTTGGAGGGCAAGGAGACTAGGGCATTTGTCCGCTACCTCTCCCCCAGCTACAGTGGAGGTTTAACTCCCCTCACTTCTGGGTAAGTGCATTTGCGGACCAGCAATCTCTAGTGATATTAGAAGCAGCTCTAAAGCAGAGAGAAAGTCACTCCAGAGGACTTTCTCGGGTTCAGCTAAGATCATTCTATTCACAAATCAACTACAAGCCACACTTGTCTGCATGCAGATCCACGTAGAGCACTTAGGACAAGAACCCATAGCAGGGTCTAGGACTCCTCTTTCACAGGGACTTGAGATTTCTACCACCCTGAATTCAAAGTCCACACTCTCCAGGAACCAGTATCTCTTTGTCACATGCCAGTGAACACAACTTGAGATACTTGCAAGGAGCGTGCAGCCCCATCAGAGGAGCCCAAGCCATGGGCCCAGGTGTTTATGCAATCCTCTCCATCCAGAGGCATTGGACCAATGCAGGGTTGCCTAGTAACCCAGCTGACTCTCCATTTCTCAGGTTACCAGGGAAACAGCACCAGAAAGTTAACTGAAGGTCAGATCCTTCTGCAGAAGAAAAAGGGACATATTAACCCTTTGCCTTAGGAGTTTCTGGCATGGACAGCTTCCTAGGTCAGGCAGCTGCATCTGTTTTGTGAAGCAACAGGTGAAGTTAGGGCAGTAGAGGCACATGGGACATTCAGCATCTGCTACAGAGGCTGCTTGGCTCCTGTCACTCGTTCAAATGACTGCAGCATGCAGTCACAGGGTGTGGGATAGAGGGCCCTTCCTCTGCCTCTTGTCCTGTGTCCCATGTCCCCTGCAGCTACAGGTCTGTCTCCTCTATCCTGCAGCTCCTCCAGGCTCTGCACCGCCTCACTCGGCTGGTGGCATTCCATGACCTGTCCTCCGCTGAAGCAATTCTGGCTCTCTTTCCAGAAAATTTCCACCAAAACCTCAAAAACCTGCTGACAAAAATCATCCTAGAACATGTGTAAGTGCTCATTTTTTGAAAATTCTTCTTTTACATTTCTTATTGTTTTTATTCCTATTTAGAAATACTATATTCCTTGTTGGAAAGATAGAAAATACAGAAAAGCAAATAGAAGAAAATAAGATAACTACAGTCCCACCACCCAGAAGTGAGCAGTATTGATTTCTTACTGGAAAGCCGTTTAGGACTTGGTTATTGTTTCTCTTTACACATACATAGAGAGGTTGATGTTTTGATTTTATTTTTTAACCACTACAAAAAAAGATCATCCCATTTTATAACGTGCTTATTTTCAGTTAGCAGTATTAACAGTAATGACATTTCAGGTCAATAAGTTTTTACCTTTAGTATCATTTTTAATGGTTAAATATAAGATATATTCCATTGCATGAAGCAACTGGGTATACATTTTTAAATTCCTTAATGTTAGACATTTAGGATTTTATCAGTTTTGCACTTCAGTGAGCAATTTAGAAACTTTGCTCATGTGCTTACTTATTTCCTTACTGTGGTATGGGCCATGAACATATTGGGTTTTGGGCATCAGGAAGATTGTACTCTTTCCACCATAAGAACATGTCCCTCTTCCCACATCTTTTCTATGAGATTTTTTTCTTACCTTTTCCCCCCAGTTCCACAGATGGCAAATGAAACCTGATTTCAGCTTTGATGCTACCAATGTTGAATATATTTTTCATGTGTTTATTGGTCATTTTAATATCTCTTTTGTGAGTTTTCTCTGTATCCTCTCAGCCAGGCAGATCCTTTGAAACACAAAAAAACATTAAAGAATCGATTATTGTTTAGCAGAAGGCTTGAACAGTCCCGTCTAATAGCAATAACAGTTAATGCCTGTTTACCAATATTTTTGTTTATTTGAAACTTACTTACATTGCCACATTTGACTCTTACTCTGCTTGGCATCTCACCATGATGTTATTTGCTGTAGCATTAGACAGATCTGTTGGGTGTATTTTTGCATAAGCTGCTGTATTCTGTATGGCAGGTGCTCAATAAAGAGAGCATAAGTTGACCTTTTCTCTGTTTGGTCTTTGAGAACAATAGCACAATAAGATTACAGAGCAGTAAGCCTTTTATTTTCTTGTCCTAAGCTGTGAAAACTAACAGCACTTAGGTCTTAATATCACCAAGCCTGGTAAGACAAATAAACAAAAAGCTGCTTTGAGGAAGGATGATTTCTGAGATCATTTCCTGTTAGGAGATCTGAAGATCACAAGGAAGGTGGAAGCTAAGGTTTCTCATGATCAGAAAACTCAGTCTCACCCCTTTTCCATAATTTTTTCCTCATCTTTCCCTCTTTAATAGATCTACTTGGAGAACTGAAGCCCAAGCAAATCAGAGTGAGTACTAAGACATCTTCCTCTCCTTCCTCTCACCAGCCCCAGGCCTGAATCTGCCAGGACTCCAAGGATGTTAACCAAAAGTCGAGGGCAGCTATTCTAGTCTCAAACCAAAGACTGTCTGTTTGCTGTGTTTTTTCTTTTTAATTCAACTCTATATGTTTATATAGATATGTTCATATAACTGTAAATATTATTATAGAAGCTTGTTGTTAAAAAAATACAGAAATACCCAAAGAAGAAAGTGATGTAATAAAAATTGGGTTTTAAAAAGTAATTCTGCTTCAATTAAGAAAAAACCCAACAGTAATTAAAATTACTTTGAAAGATTAAATAAAAGTATGTATTTAGAAGTATCATTCTGCTTATTCTGAGCCAGTCACAGTGCTAGAGCACTTGACCTGCCTTGATTCACTTAGTCCTCCCAGCAACCCAGGGAGCTAGGCTGAAACTATCCCCATTTTCCAGATAAGAAAATGGAGACTCAGAGGTTATACAAGTGGTGGAACCCAGGTTCAAACCAAGCCTGTTTATCTTAAAGCAAGGCCTCTTACCACTCGCTGAAGCTACACTTTCCCCAAGACTCCAGCTGTGCCTTTTTCTGTACCTTGTGTCACTTGTCATTCTGTCCCGACATCTGGAGGGTTGGGTGTTTGGTGCAAGTCTGGAGATGCTGCCCCACCGTGAATCAGTACTAAGGGCAGGCAGCACAGAGTAGTGGGAAGGTCCATGCTTGCTGTGGTCTTTTGCCCCACTGTCTGTCTCTTTCAGAGATTTGCTGCATAGATCAGATGGGTTATGTGTATACAGCTTTCAGAGTAAAGGCCTGATAAACATGGGCGGAGTGACCTCTGAACTAAGCTGTCTCTTCCACAGTCTCTCTGCCACGCCTGGTGGACCTGGACTGGAGAGTGGATATCAAAACCTCCTCAGACAGCATCAGCCGCATGGCCGTCCCCACCTGCCTGCTCCAGATGAAGGTAGGTCCACTCTCATCATCATTAGAAGAAAAGAAGGTGCTGTAGTGAGTTAGGCCCTGTGGACCATCTAAAATATCAGCCACCAAAGTTTTGGGGTCACTACACTAACTAAGCCCCCTCGCCAAAAATGTTGGCATCCCCCATGTGCATGTGTATTTCACACAGTGTTATGTACTACTATGTGAACGCATCATGGGCATCAAAAAACATGCACTGAAAGTTGATATTTTACTACAGTGTGACAAGTGCTAAACGATATAATTTTAAAACTGTTTTCTGATCACTTAAAGGTGTACACGTACTGAGACGTTTAGCTTTAACTGTAGGGGTGTGTGTTCAGATTTCAGATTGGCCTCTGTGTCATTTCAGTGTTTCGTCACCAACTTCCTGTCCTGTTTGCAGTGTGGTCATCAGGCTTCTGTTGGCAGTGGAAGTCTGTGCTTCCTGTTCTTGTTCACGTGCCCTTGCCTCCTTGTCTTCACTTGATAGTTTTTTTCAGGAATCCTCTAAAATCACATTATGATAGAATTCATTTAGTTTAAAAAACTAGGCAATATATTGCTGTATTTACTTCACCAAACACCCAGAAATTCAATACCTGCAAGAAAAAACTTTAGGAGGCCTCTTGCAACTAAGTTTTAAGTATTAATAAAGCTTTATTTGTTTCTTGTTTATGATTAAATAAGTAAAACTATAAGTTGTGATATTTTTCTTATATCTAGTGGACTTCCTGTGTACCCCATAGAGCTCACCTCTAAAAATACCAGTGTGAGCACGTTTTCTCACTTCAGTGCTAAGACAGGGTATTGGGGAGAAGGCTCACCCTTCCCTGCTACCCACCCAAGGCTCTTGTTGCAAATGGGAAGAGACCCAGGCCTTTGAGTATCTCCTTCACCTTCCCCAGTTGCTGAATGACTCAAGGGCTGGGGCTCCTTGCAGCCCTTACAAAGAACCTCTCTTCAGAGGCCCAGAAGAACTGAGAAGGACTCGCATACGGGAGATAGGAAGAGAGGCAGCTTTGACTTTCTGGGCCATGTTCTCTTTACAGATCCAAGAAGATCCCAGTCTGTGCGGGGACAAACCATCCATCTCAGCTGTGACTGTGGAGTTGAGCAAAGAAACACTAGACACCATGTTAGATGGGCTTGGCCGCATCCGAGACCAGCTTTCTGCTGTGGCCAGTAAATGAGCTGACCTGCTGCTAGTGCCACTGCCATGCCCAGCTGCTCATCAGTGTCGAGGCGCCTTGCAGCGGGCAGGCTGCCCTGCAGCAGCAGCTCAGCTGACTACGGGCGGACAGGATGGTGGGAGTGGGGGCTCGCCTCCTCCTGCAGGCACAGGAGGATTGGGAGGAAACAACCAGGCACCTTGCTGTTCTCCTCTTTTTTCTCTTTCTGAAACTGATAAACAGAAGCTTTCATTTTCGAGAGGCCCCTGATGCAGCCTGACTGATGCTGTGTGCCGTGAGGGAGCATTGCCTCATCAGATGCCCCTGCCTGGCTGCCCGGGGAAGCCAGGCCCTGACTGTGGGGTTCCCTTAATGAGTTATTTCCAGCATTGACTCTGATGAGTTCATTCCAGTCCTGGAATACATGGAGGGCATTAGGCCCATGATGCCAGCAGTGTTTGCCCCTCTGTCAGAGAAGCAAGGCAAATCCCACTGAGCTTGGCCCTGCAGCCTGGCCCCTCTAGGGTATCCCCTGAGCCCCCTTGGCCCCTCTGGACCACCTCTCCACCTCTGAAACACATTCTGATTCTTACTATTGCCAGGCGAGGAAGTGGGAATAACTGGAAATAAATCCGTTTTAAGATTCTGGCCTTGATTCTTTTCACCAGTTTGTTGCCTTCAGCCAGGTGCTGCCTCTCAACTTCCTGAAGATAATACCAACTTCCTGATTCCCAGCTAAGTCCTTGACCTTTGGTATGACATGAAATCAGACCTATGACCCTGACCAGGCTCCCTGTGCTCTTGACTGCTACGTAGAAAAAAAAGAAGCCAGGGTGACTTCAGTGCACACTTGATATGAGAGCCCCCATTAGTGTGCCCCTGAGACTGGCTGAACAAGACCATCTCTGTGGCGAGGCTCACACGTCATAGGGACCTGTGTATGAAGTTCCTTCTGCCTTGTTATCCAGGTCATCCCTGTGGCAACAGCGTGCTGCGTGCCCACTGAGCTCTTCGTTCTGGAAGCTCTAGTGTGTGTCTGGGGTGGATGGAGGAGGTGAACCATAGGTTAAGGCTAGACACTTGATACACGGGCAGCCAGGGTCGGAAGCTGTACCTCCAAAATAATAGTAATCTGTTAGCCCTAATTATTAATAGGAATGAAAATAGAAAGCCAGTGCATTTGTCATTTTGTCTTCTAAGAGGGCTGGTGAGGAGAACTATTATTGTCCTGCCTTGATTGATGAGGGAACTGCTCATGGAGGCTTAGTCCCCTGCTGGTAAATGGCCTCATTAGGACTTGGGCCCAGACTTCCCTAGCTTTCTCTCCACACCAGGATGTGGAGGTCTAAAACTAGCTCCATTTGGAAATTTTTGAAACTGACATAGGAGAAATCATACCTCTGCCCACCCAGTGAGATACTGAAAGGCCAAGACTAACCATTCCAAGCTCTCTGCTGCTCCTAGAAGCTAAGCTGCCTGCTTTTAAACATGGCAGATCTTAACCCTGGGGGGCCCGTCCCCACTGAGAACTTGATAAGAGCTGTGCATCCTTTTCTGTAGGAAATGAATCTTTAATTTTTTGCACATGGTGACAGGTCATGAACTCCAGATCCCATTCTGCTATGGATCAGGACCTCCTGGTCTTACACTTAGGTTGAATTCAGCCTTTGGCATGAATTCATCCCTTTCTGTTTACCTTTCACTCTCATGACCTATAAACAGTGATCTCAAATTCCTGTCTCCCAGTCTCCAAAGTGCAACAAGAAACTAACGTGGACCAAGGAGCCCAGCATCCGTGTCTGATGAGCTGGACATTGGTTTAGCCAGGGCTACCTGAAGAGAGTCAACTGAGCACAAAACATTTGGAGGGCATTCAGAACAGAACTAGAAAAGTCAATAAATGTTTACAACCCTTCTCATTCCCTTGTTTAAGAGGTTGTTTCCATTCTTAGTGAGGATGGGATTGTTTATAAATGCCATATTTCTGGTTGGCCTGACCTTACTTCTGTACCACAAAGGTCGTTCATTCAATGCTTGTCTGGTTTCCCAATCGTACCTTGTGTGATGAAGCAGCTCTGCACAAACTCTCTTTCCCGAGGGTGTAGGAAGGTTTGAAATGCAAACACCATCCACAAAGAGCCAAGATCAATCTCTGTGGTGACTGGCCCCTGGATGCCAACACATTCCATCTACCTGGCCACAAGGTGAGCACCAGGCTTAGTCCTGGTCCATGTGGCCACAGAGATTGTATCATGGATGCACATGACTCTAGTTGGGCCCATCGGCCTTTCCCTGGGGCCTTCCCTGCTGGAATGAGCAGAGACCACTTCCTGTCTCTAGGCTGTGATGGTGAGGCCAGTGATGCTCAGTTCCCACTTTGTGCCACAGAAAACCCATCTGCCATCAGTCATCCACTCCCCTATGAACTGTGGAGGGCTCAAGTCCCTGTTCTCAGTTGGGAAGAGGAAGGAAAGATACAGTGTGTGCTGTCATTTCCAATGCTAGTGTATCGATTCTGATGGGTTTATTTTATTCAGGAATGGAAAGACCTGCAGACACAGATGTTGTCATGCAGAACCTTATACTGACAGCTCTAGAAACGAGGCACATCCCATGTAGAAGGACTACCTCTCCAGGGCTGGACCCAGGTTCTCCTTTCCTCTCTTTTGCTTAAACACTGAGTCACTAATCTCCAAAGAGGGGGCTTCTGATAAGTCACTGGGTTGGGAACAAGTCGTGATAGCAGCAAGCAGAAGACTGCAATCTGGTGAACATTCATGGGGCGCCATGATCCCCTTCATGCCCCACAAATGGCTCCCGTGAGTGAGCATTCAGACAGCGCACACTCCCACTCCAAGGAACAGGCCTAAGTTACACACAGCAAATTTCAGAGGAAAAAGGGGAAGTGCTTTATGGAGGGTCCCTTGGAGCACATAACATCATGGACACTGGGCACTTTAAGTGACTCACATGGCCCCATGATTGTCAGTGCTGCCCAGTGAGTGGATCAGACTTACCCCCTTGGAACTAGAAGAGTAGTCACTCCCCTTTGTAGATATCTTTTCAAGAAATGGATATAGCCAGTTGCACGTATAACCCCAGGTACTTGATTCTAGATCTGCAACCCTGGGCACTTTACCAATGTGGAGAAATATGGTGAGTGTCCCTGGGTGCTCAGTCCCAGACATATGATGCTGTAACCCAACAGGCTTCTTGGGGAGGACCCAGCTCTTTTGAGCTCGTCGGTTTTAGCTTGGGAATGTACGACATCAACTGACAGACACCCCAGTGTCATAGCCATCAAGCAGCAAGCGTGCAAATGACCAGCCACACCTTCCCAGCCAGTGGAAGCTGCCTGCTGGGTTCAGGTCCTGTGCCAGGAGCAGTCTAGCATGTACTTACCATCTCTATCTGGTGCTAAACTATCTTTCTCATTACATCAGTTCTAAAAATGTGTGCCCGGGATTTTTTTTTAATCAGGAATGTAAGACACGAAGACATGAAATGATCATTATGGAAAAAGAAGTTTGTGCTCATAGAGCCTGTGAGGCAAGAGATGGAGCATGTCACTCAGAGCCATACGGTGAAGATCAGCATTGGACAGGAGGACGAAAGAAGAGTCCAGAGCCTTTATTGGCATTTTTATAGGAATAAACGGTCAAGGCAGGATAGGCACAATGAGTAAATTTAGGATTGGATAGTTGGACCAAATGTGGTGGGTTCTGGATTATAGAGTGTCAGATACAGTTGCCCAATATCTGTTCCTGGGATGTTTGAAGGCAGAGAGAACACTGGCTTGGGGTGTGAGGGCTTGATAAAGGGTTAGGGTTAGGGTTAGGGTTAGTTAGGTGTGTGGCTCTGTATTGGTGGCATCCACTCTCTAGGAATTTTCCAGCCCTGGGAGGAGCACTATCAAAGATCAAAACTCCAGATGCATCAAAAGTACAGAGGGCTGGGGTTGTGGCTCAGTGGTTGAACGCTCACCTAGCACATATGAGGCCCTGGGTTCCATCCTCAGCACCACATAAAAATAAATAAATAATAAAGGTATTGTGTCCAACTACAACTAAAAACTAAATATTAAAAAAGTACAGAATATCAAAATATATTGTTGATATGAGTATATACTGCAGTCACAAACCTTGCATGGCTTTTAACACAGAAGAAGTTTCTCTGCCAATGTCAAGTGGTCCAGAAAATTGGGGCCAGAGGGTGAGTACTCCCTCTCTGTTGTCTCTATGGTGCCTTCTCAACACAGACCTCCAGAGTCACCGGGCAAGACAGGGGCACCTGGCAAACTGCATCTGTGATTGTACAGACCCTGCCCCGAAATGACAAATTACATGGTCACAACAGCAAAGCAGACAGAGAAGTTCAGTCCTACTCTGTGCCAGGAGGAAGAGAAATGGGGTCTTTGTGAGTGGCTCTCATGATTGTTGTATCCTGTCCCTTGAACCAAAAGATTCCTCTTTTGCTTCAGCCAGCCTGCACTTCCGAAGAATGTGAGTGAGGGCAAGCACGCTGTCTTGGACCTTTTTTGCTGATAAACCTCATCACTAAATATCTTGCCTCTTCACCACAGCCGCCAAGGGTCAAGCAGAATACCGATCATAAGAATTTGTGCATTTTGCTGAGGATGGCAGTTTAGAGAGGCCCAGGGCTGAATTGAAACTCAGATCTAGGCCAGTGCTTTCTCCATTCCTACCTTGATTTGGAGATAAGAAAATCCATGATTCTTTACAGACACCTACGTTG